TAGTTAGCAACAAAATCGAAAATCGACTTATTTCAATAGTACAATGCTTGCAGATTATTTATATACCGAATTCATGTGAGTAACAAGAAGGATCGGGCAAGGAAACTTAGAGCGCGCGGCGTGGTCGGCCGGAATAAAGTATTTAATTTTTACATGATAGTGTTAGCAACAAAATCGGAAATGGTTATATTTCAATAAAACAATGCTTGCAGATTGTTTTTATATCGAATTCATGTGAGTCACAAATTCTGGAAGGATCGGGCAAGGAAACTTGTAACAGACAGGGCATACTATGTAGGTTTTCTGCTATTGTTTATATTCATTTTGCGAGTAATTAAATAAAAACAAACATATTTCGTGAGCAACAAATTAGCAACAAATTCTGACGTTATTTTTATGCATAATTTTGCTGTTATATATATTTTGTTCTGCTAACTTAATCTTCGTTTAGCAGAACATCATTTAAAAAAAAAACTGGAGATTTGCGTATTCGTTATGCTAGTTTATTTGATCTAGTTATAAATAATTGGTAAACCTAGTCACGTTTTTCTAGTGCGTGTATTCCCAACTAACTAATTTATGTACTCTTTGCTCATGTCTCATGGCGGACAAAGTCGTTCCCGCTTTTTTCTTTTCTGTGAGTGCACATATATTAATAAAGTTCTGGATAAAAGGATTATCTTGTTAATTAACCCAACAAAAACTAATAAAGCAACAATTTATTTTCTTTGGCAACTTTTTAACAACAAATGAGCAACAAATAATATCACTACTTAGAATTGATTCTGCTTATTTTGTTCTGCTAACTTATAAAATGTGAGGCTGGCCGAGCGATGCATCGTTCGTGACGTGGTGTCACGTGACGGCTCACGGCAGCGGCGTAGTCGCCGCCACGCGTTGCCAGCCTATCCCCTCCACACGGTCGTATTTGTCGTAAATGCCGTCCACCCGGAATCCCTGCTTTCGTGATCCTTTTTGTTTCCCTGCCGAAAATGTTCGATTAAAACCGATTATAAAAAAAATTATCCGAATCGATCGGGATTTCTGTACCGAAAATACGGTTTCAAAAAGAATTAAAATCATTCAAATCAGATATAAATCACTTTAGACGGATTAATATCAGGTGATAGGAGTCTATATCAAACTTCGACGATTGTTCGTACAAAAAAAGCAATTGGTCGATCCAAAATTTACTGATTGATATATGAATATATTATGTCAAAATTAATTATATAGTTCAACTAATAATAAAAGGGTTTAGCGGGTTAAGGAGGTGATTTCGGGCCCCGCGCGTAATCGATTGTTATAGTGGGCAAAATGTCCACCCAGATAAAAGAAAATTTTGTGCCAAGTTTCATTTTAAAAGGTCCACACAATTTCGAAATATCATAAAATATGTGAATTTTTTTGATATTTTTTTTCTCCGCCAAATTTGAATTAATCTTTATAAAAAAATTCATGATTACAAAGGTTATCCATATACATAAGTTTGAATTTTGTTGTCGTTCTGTGCTGAAAATTCTGTCGGAAGAG